AAATTAAAATATCCGGCTGGCTGTAACACTATCATCTCGTTACGGCTTTCTCTTCTAATTTTACAATTGCGAACGATAGTATCTAGGCTACTTTGTAATATTCTACGACAACAAGTAAACTAACTCACCATTTGCCCGGTGTTTCGTCTTCGCTATCACTGATCGTGATAACAGAAACTGCTGGTGATGGTGTATCGTGAATTGTAATAGTTTGCTGCCGGCCAGATGTGACTTGATGGTGTTCCACGTTATGACTACTGCTGTGTTTGCTGCTGTGATGATGTTGCTGCATGGACTGCTGTTGCCAATGACCGTTCGAAGGTGAATGCCGTCTCATGTTGCTCGGTGGTGTGCTTTCCTTTACCCTCTTTTTCACCGGGCTCAATTGTTGCGTTTCTTTCTTATGCTCGTGCCTGTGCTGAGACTGCTGAGGTACCGTCACATGATGTTGATGATGTTTCGTAACGCTACGCTTGCCCCAACCTTGAGGAGGATGTTCAACGAGGGCGCTAGTATTGTATACTTCCGTGACAGGAAATACTGGCCGCTGATCCTTCCCCAAAACAAGGGAGATTAGTTAAAAATCCGTTCGATCGATTTTTTTTTAAAGTAATTATTAGATTGGATAAGGTGGTAAAACGCCGCCTACCTGCAGAATAGCAGAACTGTCGACAATGAGAGGTCTTCCCCAATCTCCAGCATCGCTCAACAATGGCTGCTGTATGGCTGCATGTTGCGGTGGCAACTGCTGCCAAGATGGTACGATAGCAGCCATTTGACGACTTCCACCCGGCCACGAAGTTTGCACAGCATTCTGTATGTAATTCAGGTTAATAAATAAACATTTGATAATTTACTCGTGCACGAACACTCTCTTGACATTTGTTTTGATACTTACGGTTAATAACATTTGTCGTCCAGTTTCCACCATAGACACGGGAACCGCTGCATACTGTTGTTGAGCAGCCGCAGCCGCAGCAGCAACAGCCTGCTGCGATATGATCGATGGTTGGATTTGTAACGGACCTTGTTGCGCTTGTGGAGGCTTCATTATAAAATAAAGAAGGACAATTAACGATCGCGATAATTATCGCGTATCATCGTTGAAAATCAAAAATCAAAATAAAAATCATTTACTTGGGCAACAACAACGTGTTTCGCAGGACTTGGCATCGTCTGATAACTGGGTGGATGGCATAGCAGACCAGGCACCAATTGATGCGGAAAATCGTGCACTCCACTCCGTCCACTATTTGATCCACTAGACGAGCTACTGTACTGAGTCGCACGACGACTACTGTTGCTGTATATTTGATACTAGAAAAGAAAGGATACACACTGTCATTCACAAGATAAATTCGATACGAAAAGAAATATTTCAAATTAAATTTCAGCGATTAACAACAACGTTAAAGACGTTAAAAAAATTTATGAACAAACCAGATTGTCATATCCTGTTTGTGTCCGATGCTCTCTGACCAATCGGTTTGTCAACTGATTGTTGAAGGTAAAAGTTACGGCACTACCGTTCGTCGTCGGCACAAAGTTAGCTACCAACGACGTCGGTGGAGGTGGTTGAGGTGCTGGAGGAGCTTGGTGATGCGCTGGACTTGCAGTGAAGTCGCCGGCTCGTCGGCAAACCTCCATCATTTGGACGGAAGCTTTAACATTGTTACAATGTGCGTAATCGATCAAGTGGGCCAGCGTAACAAAGGCATGGTTCAAAGCCTCCCCAGGTGTTATACGACGCTCCTGCAAATAATAACACACGGGATAACAGGCGGTAAAAAAACAAAAAAGAATGATTGCTCTAGAAATTGGCTATATTGTCTTTCGATCATAGTTGCGTAGAATTAAAGCACGAACTAGATATTACTACCTGGTCCATTGTGAGCATCCTCTTCAAGAGGTCAATGAACTCTCTTCTATCTGCTTTCTCTGCCAGAAGTTGACCACCCTCCAAATCAGTCGGTACATTGACTTGACCAATATCATCGAGACAGTTAAAAATATACTTTCTCGCTTCCTTTGATTTGATACCAGTTTCAGCCTCGTGCTCTTCCGGTGTTTTCAAGCGCCAAAATGGATACGTGCCTGGAATTTATTCGATTATCGTTATCGGGACTTGTTCTTCCTCGAGGGGACGGCCAATTATCGCGAGGTGATTGTAAAGTGTAACCACCACTTACTGTCCATGTCTCTGTAGAAGAATTTTGTTGTTTTGCTGGCATTGTTCAACATGTGTTCCGTTGGTAGGCCTTGTGTCTGACTTATGTATCGAATCTGATCGTATTCTGAACTACCAGGATATAGAGGCCATCCTAAAAACAATTCCGCAACCACACAGCCGAGCGACCACATATCTATTGCTTCACAATATGGAAGTCCAAGTATAATTTCGGGTGCACGGTAGTATCGCGATTGCAAATACGTGTTGCAGACAGCTTTCGACACGTGGGAGGCTGACCCAAAATCAATAACTTTCACACGATATGGCTGACGAACTGGATCCACCAACATAATGTTTTCCGGCTTAAGGTCAGCGTGGATCAAGCCCAATTGCTAAAAGCAAGATGAATTTCGACGAATCAGGCACAAGACAGGTAAGCGAAACGTGTGTGCGAGTGAGAGAAAACGCAGAGAGCTCACCTTCAGTTTCAAAAGAGCGGTGAGTACTTGTTGGAGAATCGGTCTGATGTATTTGAGCGGTAGAGGTGAAAATTTGTTCTGTTTCAGGAAATCATACAGATTCTGTTCTAGCATCTCGAAGACCAAACAGGTGTGGGATTTGTGCTGAAAGCACTCATAAGCGCGCACAAAGTTGAACTCATCCGCATTCTCCTGGCTGAGTCGAGACAGGATGGAGACCTATAGAGATCAAGATCGAGATTGTACTTGCCATAGTCTTAACAATAAAATCGACTTACAATATGTACCTCAATCTGTCCTTGGCGCGCATACGATGGATGATTCTTCAGAATTTTGATGGCCACTATTTCGTTGGTTCCCTTTTTCCAGCACTTTACGACCTGAAGCGCACGAAGAAAGAGGGACGGAACGTCGTTTAAATTTCGAGACCAGGTCGAATGGTACACAGTTTGCAAGTAGTAGAGGAAGAACGTCGTTTTACCTGTCCGAAAGTACCTCTGCCCAAAAACTCGAGGACTTCGTACTGATTAGTCATAGAATAAAGAACCTCGTGCTGTACCAACTGATAATCTCCGTCTCCTTGAGGGTTGCTGCCACCGCCTCCATTGGCAGCGTTAGTCACCTGTTTGCTATGGGCCGTCATGCCTGTCTGCTTGTGCTGCTGCTGCTGTTGTTGTTGTTGTTGTTGTTGTTGTTGTTGCTGCTGCTGCTGCTGCTGCTGTTGTTGTTGCAGCTGCTGCTGTTGCTGTTGAGTATGGTGCTGCGACACTACAGTACTACCCACTGCGTTCGTCGCGTTGGCGGAGTGGACTGCCAGGCCGTCACCATTACCCTCCCTCGACCAAGTTTTTCTCTGTAGGAGGAATACACCTTATACAAAAATTTTTGGACGTTAAGAGATTGTAGATAGTGTTTGATAGCTTTTTAGTAGTTTGGCAAGGGACGACGACAACGACAAACAAACACAGAAGAACACTTTCAGAACGAGACGATTGTGTCAGATGAATGCAACACAACAAAATAGCCAAAATAAATAACAGAATCGACGTGTTACACGTTCTGTTAGATGAATATGCACACAACACATGCACACATATGACGCTACGCTTTTCTATAATTGAAAATTAGTCTCACGAACACGTATCTAGTGGTGTGTGTAGAATATGAAGGGAAAATTTTTTATATTGTTATTGAGTTACGTCCATAATCTTCGACACTGGCGCGAGAGATTTAGCAAGCATTAAGAAACACTCTGCCGCTGCAGAGGTGATACACTATGGAAGTACATAGTCCGAGTGTATGAAATATGAAATGAAAGCCTTGGAGGAGCAATCGATAGGTAACTACTACACCACATGGAAAAATGACCCGAGAAACCGATCGCAAATCCGTAGTTTTTTTTTTGTTTCACGATCGTGAGGTCAACGAAAATCAATTGCCTTCCCAATTGTTGTTTCCCGCGGGACAATAACCACGGTATATCGATTCGCATTTAAGGCATTTAATGCGATAGATAGGCAAAGACAAAAGCCGCTTACGCTTCTTTACCGCCGTTCGTGAAAGTTTGTCCATCAGGGATATTGGACGATATTAGTCCGACCGCAGTACGCGATTACCATTCCACGGATACACTATCGTTC